TTTTTTTCTGTAAAATACATCTAATGAAATGTTAGAGAGAGCACTTTAGCCTACTATAAATTACTGACATAATGGTAGTGGTTCAGTGTTTGCCAGAGCCAATACAAAAGAAAGTGAAGGACATAATGTACAGTATGTGACGTGATAATATTAACTCTACTTTAAAAAAAAAACACTGCATAATTGCTCTGAATTAGGCTCTGTAAAACAATATTACATACTGAAAGCTGAAGCATTTTAAACAAAGCAGTTTTTTTAAAAAGGATTTAAAAATATTTTAAACACTAGTCATTATGACCATTGACTGAACATAGGTCAATACTGTCATGCCCTCTGCAGCCAGAGGGCACTCCTACTCTGTCCTGTCCCTAGTTTCCTGTGCTTTGCTCTCCTTCCAGAGTCTCTCTCTCTCTGGGGCTATATATTTCCATCCAGGTCGCCCCACGTCCGCTGCCTGAGGGCATTAGTTTCTATTTGACTCCAGAACTGCTGAGCCCGGGCGAATCCCCCATCCCACAGCAACGCATATGGGTCTTTTTCCGCTCTCCTGCCTCTTCACGATTTGTTCCTTATGACTTCCGTGCTGAAAGGTACAGTAACTGCCTAATCTGTTCAACTGTTGCATACTTGGATGTCAGTTACTGAAGACATCATAATTTAACATCTTTGACCACTTAAGTTACACTGAATTCTGTAAGACTCATGTCATGATAAAACAATAAAAAAGCTCATTTAAAAAATGTTCATTTAAGATTAGTAGAGTTTAACAGTTCAACTAAATTAACCTGATCTGAGACTATAAAGAATAGTCATAGTATAAAAGTAATATTTATTTCAGTGCTACAGAATGTACTTAATTTTATTGTATTCATACTAATACCTGAGATTGTATTAACATCCTTCCAATGTTGGGATGTTACCATGGTATCCTAGCCAAATTTCCCCCTGCCCTTTACCAGTCATAGCCTCCTATTATTATTATTATTATTTTTTAGCTTGCTTTTTCTTCCTTCACTTTAGTATATCACTATAACATTTCAGTCAATTAAATTTATTGGTACTTGCTCCTACCTACCATTATACATTATTGAAATAAGATTGACAAATGCAGTTTTGAAAGAATTCTGAAACTGTTCAAGACAGAATTCCTTATTTATGAGAAATACTGTATGTAAATTAAATTCATGGTGGCAGAGGAGCCAGATACACACTGGACAGGATACTAATCCATTGCAGGGCACACACAGATACAAATCCATACACCAGAGTTAATTTATAAAAACATAATAATACATACAGTAAAAAGTATATAGTTTTGCCAGTTTACATCTCACTGCCACGATACAGTACCACAGTGAAGAGGAGATAGTGCTCATTATAAATTGTTGATTTACTCACTAAATCATTCACTGCTCTATTTATCCACTGGACTTTAGGAGCATTATCAACTGACCTGTTGATGACCACGGTAACCAAGTTAAATGAAATGCAGTTGTTCATGAACAAAGTGGAATACCCTTCCATAACCAGCTACATAAATATATTTATTTAACTTTATTTTATTTATAATAACTTTCAGAAAAGTATTTTAATATTCAGCTTTTTTCAAAACGTCCCTTTAGTTACATGATTCCATATTAATATTTCATATTAAGTGAATTTTAAAAAGCATTAAAAAGTATTACTTTTTTGTCATAGGAAGCTCACATTGTTACTAAAATCTAATGCACCACAATTGCCACCTATCGATTGTGTTTGGCCAGTGAATCACAATGACGAAGCATACCACGATAAAGCACAGCCCCTGTAAAGAGTTACAGTGTTTTAACACGCATTCTGAATGGCTACATCTGTACTACTATATATCACAATGGAAAACAACTGCCCATATATTAGCAAAAAGGGTGATTTTAGACTATTATACATTTTGCTTTTTATTCTATATTCTATATTCTATATTCTTTATTCTGAACTGTTAAGTTCAGTCACAGAAGAAACCATGAAGTGTTCACTATTTGATATAAAGGCAATGTTTTTTTAGAATATACAGTGTATAGTGATGTTAGTGTAAAGGTGTTTTGGAGCATTAACCCAGAGTAAGAAATGATCTCATTGACCACATTTGTAGAACTCTGCAGCACATCTGTCATGTCAATGCAATTTCTTGATCTTTCAGCTTGATGATAATACACCTGACAATATACTGTAAGAATCAATCAATTCTTCTTGCTTTGTTGCAGAGTGATCATCATACAGTATGTTGCCTTGCTTAATCATTTAATTCTAAGACAATCAATAACTCATTTAATGATACACAATATTAACTGTTGCCACTTATCAATGCAACAGCTTATCATTATTGCATTTACTAGGGGCATGCCAGTCGTCCATGTAGAACACCTGTATGCACCTTCTTTATGCATTTAAGGTTTTAGTGGACACTGCTCACTCACACAAAAGAATGTGACTTTTTATGTGACATGAGGTACAAGTCCCATATGAACATTCAATTTGGAAACTTGTAAACAGATGATTAAAATAAATCACAGAGTATTTGTGGAATAAGCCTAATCTTGTGTTTGTAGTGTTTTACTATATTTCTTTTAATCTCACATACAGTATGGGTCTCTCAGACATGCACTTTTAATCTATGCCATTTATTCTCAGAAAATGGGAAACCATTTTTTATGAATGAAATAGGTTTGAAGTTCCACATGAATATTAGTTAAATTAAATTTCCTCTCCATTATGGACAAGAATAAGAAACATACCCAGAGCAACTCTTGCAGCTGAAGCATCATAGTTGATCCAGAAGGAGACCCAGGATAAGATGGTAATAAGAGTTGAAGGCATGTAGGTTTGTAAAATAAAGTAGCCAATATTCCTTTTCAGTTGAAAACTTAATGACAGCCTCGGATAAGATCCTGAAAGGAGAAACAAACAAAATTGCAACATAAAATGACAATCTGCACCTGCTTTCGAAGTTTGTATCTTAACTGCTCTTTTTTGTTGTTCAAGGAAGGTTATTTCAATGTTCATATTTCAGTTTCATTTCCAGAAATCCACTGTATGTATAACATGTTAATCCTTAATTTAACCAAACTCTGTCACACTTGTACATTGGTGTTCAATGGTGTACACAAGGTGTTTCATTTTCCTTCATTTTAAAGAAGCATCCTACCATGTGCACTTAGTTTCTCTTCAGGGATTAGTTACAGTCATATAGTTACATACAGTATTATCATCCACATTTCTGATTGTAGTAAAAAAATAATATTTCATAATCTTTATGGAAGGAGTCTCATATTAACAACCTTCCTAACTTATCCAAAACACATGAAGCCTGTTGTTTTTGCAGATGCAATTTAGGTAAGCTCACAAGCACTGCAACAGCAGAAAAAGAAATATACTAGAGCCAGGAATGGGACGATTAATAGCAAATAAAATGTTACTAGTGTGAGGTAATATGTTCAGGTAACTACATTGCACATCACAGGCTGTTTCTTTATTAATTCACCCTTTCTATAGTAGTTCTTCCAAAATGCTGACCTCAACACACAGTAGATTGATAGGCTTTTATTGCAGAGAAACATTGCATTTATCAAAATATGAAGCTAACCTATTAAAGCTCTTGTGTTTTGGTATTGACTTATCCTGATTTACACATGAGAGGAAGTCATAAAAATGCCAACAGTACTAGGGTATAAAACTATAACGTGCTACAAGAAAGTAAAAGTTAATTTGTAAGGATAAAATCTGGTAAAGCTCCTCAAATTTGAATTAAAGTAATATTAAGAGTTTTTGAGGCAAATACAACTACTATGGTATTAGGCTGTAGTAGTTCAGGTGGGTAGCTGCGTCAGCATGAGTAGGCTGCAAAGGAACAAGTAATAGGTTTATTCCATGCTGAAAAGAGAAGAAAGAAAACACAGTTTCAGCCATGGAACCTTCTTCAGGTGACATACTATGGTATTATAACTTTTGTTAATGGATAAGACAAACTATATGCAATAAAAATAGAAAATACATGATTGCATAAGTATTCAAAGCTGTTGCTTTGGCAAGCCCAAATTATTTTAGTTGTACAAAATTTCCTTAACAAGCTAAATAATTACTTAAGTGTCCTTTGTCTGTGTGCCATATTAGTAGTTCACATCTATCTCTGTAAGGTCTCTCAGTGGGGTAGGGAATTCTCAAGCAAAAATGTTATTAATTCAGTCAAAATAACAGAAAAAAAGTTGCACAAAGGCACAGATCAGAAGACGGGTATAAATAATAAGCATGGTGGTGGCACCATTATACTATAGTTTTTCCTCTCAGGGACTGGGAGCTTATGAAAACTGATGGGAGCATACTGTAGATAAAGAAAAGTACAGGTAAAACATAGGGTAAAAACATAGGGCTGTTTCAGCCCTAAATCTGGGACAAAATTAAAGAAGTACAATAACACAAAACAAAGCTATAGGGGCTTAAGAATAAGAAATTGAATGTCATTGAATTGCTCAGTCCTTGTATATTACTGAGAACATGTGAAGAAGGTGAAAACTGCTGTCCAGAATAAGCAATCCAGAAGCAACCTGAGACAGCTTGAGCAAATGTGCCAAGCACAATGGGGAAAAATGTAGCAAAAAAAAAACATGCAAAGTTGGTAGAGACTTTCAAAGAGACGTTCAACTGCCAAGGGAGTTACCACCATATTGAGTTCACAGGAATGAATACTTATACAATCAACAGATTTCGTTTTTTTTACTCTTTAGTATATGATGGCATTTACAGTTACCATTTACACCATCTTATCCTTAGATGTTTTAATGTGAGCATTCAGGTTTTGAATAAAATACTAAGATTAAAATGTGTGTACATCATTTCAGTAAATGGGGCACGATAGGAATGTTCTGAATAATTTTGCAAGGCAAAGTATATCTAATCAGGTTTTGTTTTCAACCTTTTGAAGCAAAAGTTATCCTGTTTACAATATTTTTCTTGTTTTCAAAGATGGTTAATAAAAAACATTCATATTTTTAAAAGCAGCAGAAGCCATTAAAAATGAAAAAACAAAATGTATTCAATTATTATTAAGTCTTTGAATAAACCCAAGAATTTATCTTCTTCCTTTTATAGTAGATGGTGGTAATACCAAAATTGGTCAATGTCAATCCAAATCACGTGGAAGTGCAAAAAAAGTATTATTTGTTTAAAGTAATAACAGTTTACTCTGTCCTGAAACCTACAAAGAATACAAAATATCAAATCCAAGCATTCATTCCATAGCATACAATCTTCTCAAAAACATTGAAGGCAATAAAGATTTGTCACAGCTGATGGTATGACTCATAATTATAATCTATAGGGAAGATGATGCAAAACAGGACTAAGCTTTTTTAAAAGATTATATATTAAATTATCTTTAAAAGCTGACAGCACACGTATTGTGCCATAAAGATTTGGCTATTGCCACAATCTAAACACCTACTTCAAACTAAAAAAAGGATATAAGGCAAAAAGAAGACACACTTCACAAAAATAGAAGGCGTGTTTGGAAAAAATAACATCTAACCATGTTGTGAATTCAAATCCTTTAGGGTCCTTCAAAATGTAACTTTTGAATACTGTAGAAAATTCAAATGACCTTTACTTTATGTTACTGTATATCTATCTGTAAAGCATTTGGGCATTAAAAAAGGTTTTGTGTCATACTGGAACCAAACTAGACAGTCTTACACATTCAAATTAAATGAAGCCAAATGCTAGAGCCTCCACTGTTAATTAGTGTTTCCTTTTTGTATAGATCTGTGAATCAAGTGTAGAAATTTGAAGTGGAAGAAATGTATTTGTACAATAGGGAGGATCCCTTAGGACAGGTCTCTGGAACCAGCAGACTGTATGAATCTTGTTATGTATTCTGTTTCGCTTTCTGCTTTTATCTCTGCTGAGATTCATCATGACAGGCAACTCTCACAAAAGAAAATGTCTTTTAAAATATGATTGCAAGGACATATGCGGTGTAAGCTAATTACAGTTGAAAATTCTTGCGAAGTGTACTGATAAATTGATGCACTCTGACAAATATTTTTGTCCCATTTAATTTTTCATTTTATTTTTCAAGAGTTTACTAAATATGTTATGTAGAATGTTGCAGGCGATACAACACGATGTATAATATGTAACCTGCTTTTGCTTTCTTACATCTAAAAAATAGAAAGCTAAGGACACATTGTTATTATAATATTTTTTCTTTTTTATATTTTTTATTGCATATGTACATTTTTTTTGGCTATATAAATTTCTGTTGTTATTTCAATGGAGACTGTGATGCACTCTGGTCATAGCAATAAGCTGTTTCTGCAAAAACACCTAAAATGTATTAAGAGGACAAAACTTTACAAGTGACCTTTAAAGTTTTCTGATGCAAAATTGTTCTTGTTACGATCCCTGCCTCCCGGCAACGGAAAAGGCAGAAGAAGGCATAGCCTTACTTCATCACTCTACCTATCAGTTTTCTTATTCACCACCACACCCTCATCTCATCCTATACTTAAACACCTGTCTTCTCCTACCTCATCGCTCAGTATTGGTTTTCCTTTCGAGCTTCCTAGTTGCACTACTCCTTCTTCTGCTTTTTGTTATTCTTGGTTTTTGGATTACGGTTTTTCCCCCTTTGACGACGGTTTTTCGGATCAAGGCTTGGCTTCGGTACTCATGCTCTGTTTTGGATCTCTGGCTTCCCCTGGACTCTCGGATTGCTCTATTGTCTACGGTTTCAGATCACACTTTGGCTTCGGTAACTCATTCCCTATTTGGATCTCTGGCTTCCCCTGGACTCTCGGATTGTTCTATTGTCTACGGTTTTGGATCATGGTTTGACTTCGGTAACTCGTTCCCTGTTTGGATCTCTGGCTTCCCCTGGACTCTCGGCTCGTTTCTTCGACTACGGCTTTCTTTGGATCACGGCTAGGCTTTATCAGCTCCAGCAAGTGGGTTCATTCACTGGTTTCGGTTCCTCTTACCGAATCCCTAACAGTTCTTCCATGGAAAACCTTTAAAGAGCTATTTACAAAACTATTATACTCAGTTAACATGACTATAACTGTCTCAGTTACTGTCTCTGAGATGATAATGGAAAACCTTTGATGATGAAAGGCAGATGTCTAGTATATTAAATTAATATCTTACTCAGTTCTTTGCCAGTAAGCAATTAACAATTGCTTGCCAAGTCTTAAACTGGACAAAGACAAAGCCATATGTCTAATATTAGCATAGAAGATGCAGAAGTGTAAGAAGTGAAGATAATCAAATTTCTGTAAACAGATGTCATTCTTAGGAACAAAAGTGATGTTATTCAAATATTGTTATCAAAACTCCTGCAGCAGTCACTTATTGCAGAGTTAATCACCATTTGCATGAAGATTGCTAGAAGATTGTAAAATGCAGCACTCATCCATAAAAATGATGACAAAGATTGAACATTATATCCACAATATGTATAACTATACTAGAATATCAACATTATGGCATTAGGATTCTAGGATGTAGTCATAATGGATTCAGACAAAAAAAAAACTAAGCTTTGATTAACTTGTTAATGTAACAAGCAACACTAGCAATGGATATAAACAGAGCACTTAGCAATTAAAGAACTATTTAATGGACAAAAAACGAAGAACAGATAAAGGATGAATGCTCAAATTGAAGTGAAGCAGATAATGGAATATCTCCATTATATCACATTTCCGTTAGGAGGACAGCTTTTCTTAACACATACAGTATGTAAACAATCTAGATTCTGGTATAGTTAGTAAACAAGTCAAGTTCACAGAAAAGTTCACAGCAGAAAAAGGGGATTGAAAAAAAATAAAGACAAAGAAAAACATGAAGTGCAGAGTTTTACATTTTGGTAGCAAAAATATAGATATAAGATGATAAACACAGAGCTTTAAGAAGCTATCTGAAAAAAACAACAAAAATGTTGGTGTTTACAATATATTGACACTGAGGAATTGTGAAAAAGAGCTTAAAAGCAAAAACAAATATGTTACAACATAATCTGGTTTTAGGAACAAACTTTCCCCACCCACATGATATTCTGAGCAAGAGACCCTGGGACCATAAAGGTATCTCCTCTGAAAGCAGGCAGATTAAAATGTGTGCACTGGGAAAGAGGGTGCTAAAAGGTTTTTCCATGCAGAAGGATAATAATCCTGAAAGCTCTCTCTCTTCCAAGTCTAAAACTCTGGAGACTCAAGACTGACCTACGATCCCCTTGGCACCTGGAATATGGGACTTGTCACTAATCATTTCCACCAAGACCAAGATGAAGATCCCACCCTGGATCACAACTGTGCACTGGTTGTTGAAATTAATTTGAACCTGGTTGAGGGGCTTAATAATCAAGCCCGATCTTTTCTTATGAAAAAATGACCTTCTGTACCACCTAGATGGTTAGAACAGGGAAAGACTTCTTGTACCCTCTAAATATTGGCAAAATATTTTAAAGCTCACACATTCCTACTTACTTCGCTTACTTACAGGTCAGTTGGGGATTGACAAAACCCTGAACAGCATACTACAAAGGATCTTCTGGTCAGGAGTTTACACAGACATCGGGCACTTTTGTCTGAATTCTCCTGACAACTGAATTCTCCTACTACAACCCTTACCTATTATAGAATAACTGATTTTACATATAGTCACAGATATCATTGGACCCCTGCCTAGAACATCATGAGGGCATGAATATATCCCGGTGGTCATGCAACAAGTAATCTGGATGAAATATTCTCCACCGAGCAGTTAGGAGAGTCATAGCCAGACTACTAGTGAAGTTTTTCACCAAGGTCAGGCTACCCTAGGAGATCCTCACAGACCAGGGTACCACCTTCACCTCATGTTTTATGAAGGCAGTTGCCAGCCTTCTTAACATCAAGCTTTAGAGAAAATCAGTGTACCATCCCCGAACAGATGGCTTAGTGGAATAGTTTAATCAAACCCTAAAGTAAATGTTGAGGAAGGTTGCTCAGAATGAGCAAAAGGACTGGGATCAACTTTTCCCTTGTATGCGTACACTGTTATGGAAGTACCACAAGCCTTGATGGGATTTTCATTGTTTCAGGTGTTGTATGGAAGGAAACCCAGAGGGATCCTAGATGTACCCAGACACGTATGAAAGACTCAAAAACTTAATGTTCAGAACATATTTAATTTTTGTAAATACCTTTCAAGAACACCAGTTTCACCTAAAATATCTTGTAGATGAGCATCTTATAAGAACACAGGAGTGAAAACAATGCACTGATGGATAATGAGTACAAACCTGAAGATCTGGTAATGTTCCTCATGCCTACACTGAAATGCAAACTCTATGCTCACTAACAAGGGCCATATAAAGTCTGCAAGCAAACATGGCCAGTTACATATAAAATCTTTTTTTTGAGTTGAGAGAAAAACTATGCATGCTTTATTTGTTGCCTACTTTTTATAGTGTTCTCTCATCTAAAACAAAATCTTATTGCCATCTGTCACAAAAAAATTCTATTAATGAAATCAATATGTAATGCTTAGTCTTAGACTTGTGAGACAATCTGAAGAAATAAATGATAAAAGGTTGATAAAAGATAAAAATTGTGGTAATTGAATACATAAACAAATTGAAAGGGATGGGAAAACAGCATTAGATGTGGACAAAACTCAGAACACTTTTTTATGTGAAATCTTCATGTAATTGTAAAAGGCATTGTAAAAATAACATATGAGCAATATTTCATTAGGCAGAATTTGATAAATGCAAAATCTTATCACATGGTGCATTTCTTATTTGATTTCCTATGATTACAATGTCTGAACCCCTGCACACTTCTTCAATAACAATATCCCTACAAAGCATGAGTTTAATATAGACTATAAAAGGAAGTTTCATTACCAAACTAATGTCATTTACTGAAAGTCTGTGCCATATATTTTTAATTTTAAGATACAAAAGATTTTAAAATGTTCTGTACATTCTTTAAGATACTTACCTGTTGTAAACACAACTTTTTTGGACACTGTTCTATAATCCATGATTGAGAACTGAGGCAGCTCAATGTTGTTGACTCCAGTGACTGAGTTTCCATCACCCTTCCAGTAAAATTCAATATCGTCTGTGGTGTAGCCATCTTAAACGGAAAAGAAGAAGGTAATTGAAATTGTTTTCAAACCTACATTCTGCAAAAATATAATCAACAATACAGAATATTGTAAAATAAAAATATATGTAAAATACCCAGTATTTACACAAGGAAGATTTTTTGTGTTGTAAATAGATGTTGGATATATATATTTATTTTTAGACTTAATAATGTCAGAGTATAGTAAGCTTCCAAATGGTTGTCAATGCATAAAAACACTGTGAAACATAAACTGGGAGGTCTACTTTTCTTTCAGAGCACATAAAATATTTTTAAGGGATTTTGTTGTATGTGTAACAGTGCAAAACACTGTTAACTTAGGAATAATTAAATGAATATGGCAAAATCATAAATATTAATGGTAAAAATTCAAATTAAAGTTATAATAATAATAATAGTAGGTATCTACATCAGCATGCATAGGCTGCAAAGGAACAAATATAGGTCTATTCCCTGCCAAAAAGAAAAAAGACACCCTTCTTCGGGTGTCTTTTCTTATTCTATATTTTCAACATGGAATAAGTCTTTACTTGTTCCATAAAAATAAAAATAAGTTTCCTGTTTTGAGCTGAGAATGAATCCTGGAACTCCTTTGAGTAAGCTTCTAAAGAATGATGCTGAGATGTAACTGTCACCACATTAATAGTGAAGTTTATTAATACCTGTTTATGTTTTATCTATTGGGCATATTTTAATTATTGTATTACTAAAATTGTACACTGGATTCTTTGAATAAGTGTGTGTAACTCATTGTTTGTTCTGCCTGATTGATTCCTAGTTTACATAAAGTTTACTGTTCCAATTTCTAATTAAGTAAATTAAAATCACCAATTCAATTAAGTAGATACAAACATGTAGCTAAAATTAACATTTGCAATATAGAAAGATTTCCAATGTGATTGCAATAACTGTTCAGTATTATACAATGGAATGAAAACAACAAGCAAGAGCTAAATAAAAATGGTCAGACTGAATACTCGAAGTTTTGGTTTTTAATTTTTCATCACAATTCACAAATTATCAAAGGACAAAGTGAATGCAAATAATAAAAAATATGGCACTCAAAAATCATTACTGTGATAATGAAGGCATTAGAAAGAGTAGTTAATATATAGAACAAAAATTATATGAAGAAATTAAAAAAAAATGTTCCAGATTTAGGATTTAAGCTATAAAATGCTGGAGAAAGATTGTCAAATGTATTTTAAATTCATTACAAGCCATGAAGGTGGTAGAATGATGGTCTGAGGTTCTATTACTTGCTTACAATCACATCCCAAATTTTCCTTGAAGGTGTGACTTCACGAAAGGGTTCCTAAACTGTAATTTAATTGTTGTTATTTGAGTTTCCCTTAAGGTACTTGAATCTCTGCCATGAACAGGTGAGTGTACAATTAATCATTTGGAGCAGTGATTAATTATACAATTGAGAAACTACCTTGATCATGAATTTATTGGAGCAAAACAATTTTTTTAAAATAACATTTAAAAAGGACCTACAGATTGTATTAAAAACTATTTATTTGAATGAACAAGAACAACAATATCCTGGTGACTGGTCCACTGTCACTACAACTTGTTACTTGTGGTTTGTTTTAAAAAACATGAAATTTATCATGAGACAAAACTGATTTTGATTTGAAAGATAAAGTTACCAAAACACATAAAATAAATTGTTAAGTTTAACACTGGTGAGAGAGAAATCTACAAAAATTAAAGGAACAAGAAAATGTGGAATTCTAGTATGCTATAATTTACTATTTGACTGGAGCATTGCACAATATTCCCACAGGATAAGACAAACATTTCAAGATAAGTCCGTCTGTCAACAGATATGTAATAAAAAATAAGGCAATTTCTACAGCACGTCAAATGAAAATTGGTGTTTGTTTAAACAGAAGTTCCAGAGGATGTCAAATTCTGCTTCCCTACACATACTGTATATACTGTACTGCCTGGCTGAACATGCCGCTCAATGCATGTTTTCTAGCATCTGTCCATCCAGCCCAGCTTCACTAATGCAGCATTAAAAAGTATGTTATCACTTTATATTTATCTTCTCATTTCATCATTTGAATATGACAGAATGACTGAAATGGGGTAGTTACTGTGGACTGCTAATTGACTAACATAAAGTTAAAGAATGATCTACAGTAAATGGCTTTTATAATACTAGGTACATAATCATGATATATAATTTAACGGAATTCATTGAGACTTGTTGCCAGATTCTATACATTTGCAACAGTGAAAAAATGTTGCTTGAAACAATATATAGTTGGAAAATATATTTAACAAAGGCATTTCCGATACAATCAAACAGCAAAACTATATCCTTCAACTAGTGGTTGCCCTGTAAAACTGTCACATTCTCATGAAGGTTCAAGGTTTGTCATTTTTCACTTCACCCTGGGTTTTCACTGGAACTACTTCCACTCTCCACATGATATCTCTGCTGAGATATGTGCACAGAGGTTGCTGCCTAGCCTGCTCTCCAAACCTGTTGGTTTCCTCTTTGATATTCGGGGTCTCCCGTACCTGAGGCTCCCTTTTTTTCTTTTTTCAGGAAGCTCTCTATTCAGTTTCACCTGTACCCTATGCTCCCTGTTTCTAATTGGCAGACTTTGTTTGGCAGCAATTTCAGCTTCTATACTGTACTTCACTCTGCTCAGCAGTTTTGGCTTTAAACCAGCTCTTTACTCTGAATAGCAGTTTTGAGCTCCAATGTTGTCTGAAGCACTATCCTCAGGTCCAGGGTCGCGCAGTGCACCAAGACAGCCCTCACTCTGCACAGCAGTCTCTGCAGCCTCAGACCAGCATTTCAGATTCATCTGGCTTCCTCTTTCAAGAGGCTCGCCATTCAGTTTCACTTGTACTCGAGGTTCCCTCTTTTTGACCTGTGTTTCTGGCGGACTGTGATTGGCAGTCTCCGCAGCTTCAAGCCAGTATTTCACCCTGCGCAGTACTCTTTGCAGCCTGAAGTCAGAGCTTGAAATCCACCTAGCTCCTTTCTTATTAGGCTCACCATCCAGTTTAATCTATATCCAAGGCTCCCTGTTTCCAACTGGTGGAACTGTGTTTGGCAGCAAGTTTGGCTTTAAGACAGTGATTCACTCTGCACAGCACTCTCAAGGGCCTTCAGCCAGGCATTGCTCTGCACAGCAGTCTCAGTGACCTCATGTCTGCCCTTTAAATTTATCCGTTCACGTTCCCAAGAGGCTACCAATTTGGTTTCTCCTGTACATGAGGCTCCCTGTTTCCTACAGGGGGGCTAGTTTTGGAAGCAATTCCAGCTCCAAGACAGTTGCATCAAGGCCACAATTGCATCAAATCTTCCAATCCACTGTTCAAATGTCCTCTTCCCAGTGGTGCCTTCATCCCTCCCCAGATCCGATAATAATCTGAACACAAGTTTATCAATCTATTCTAGTGTCAGCACCCCTCCACACTTCCAAGATGGTATTACCTTGATTTATTTCTTCTGGTAGTAGGAAGTTCTATCATCACTATATCCTTAAAATAGGACAACCATTGCTGTATCCCCAGAAGGCAGTCAGTACTTGCTATCATTTTCTTTGTTGCAGTCTAAATCAGCAATCCAAAATTGAATGTGACTCTCCTTTAACAGAAGTTCTGACTCATTTTCAAGCAGTAGCAGAGCTGGATCCAGAAGTATGTTTTTTTCCAATCATTCCAGTCAACATGAATATTGAACATTGTCTATTCCTAAAACATGTACATGTTAGTTCTGTGTTAACCCCCTTGGTTGGCCCATATATGTATTTTAGACCTTAAACAATTAGATTTTCAAGAAAGTCTTAATGAAAATGAAGTTATGCTGATTAAACATATAGAGTTTAATTAAATGTAAAGGAATATATTTGGAATAATTAGTTAACAAAATGATCCAACAGTATACATCCTTAAGTGAATAAAAATATGAATCCTTAGATTTAGTATCTGGTGGGACGTCATTCTGCGTCAATGACTTAAACTACATGCTTATTGTAAGTGCTGATCGGTCTCTTGCACTGGCTGTTAGACATTCTGGCCCTTTCATCCTTTCAGAACTGCTTCAAGCCTGTGATGTAATTTGAGGATGTCTTTGCATGTACTGTATAACTCATTCAATAAAAACAGTTATGCCATAATATTTCAAAGGGGTTTATGTCTGGACATTGACTCAGCTGTAGTGGAGTATTATGATTTGCGGTTACTTTGCTGATTCCAGACCGAATGGCTCATTGAAGAATTAATGAATTTGGCATTGTATCAGCATTTTACTTAGAAGAATCTCTTCTGAGAAGAGAAATCTATTCATCAGCTGAAAGTGAGCCAAAATGTAGTCATGCATCAAGATTAATATCATCAGCAGATTTACAACAGGATGACTGAAAACAAGATATTTTGTATTTTGTAATTGTAAAGTCAAAGTCCAGATAAATGAAGACTCTCTTCATGTCCTGGTGAAACACACATTTCTGGGCTGTGCTTATTGTTTGAAGCCCAAGTATGCCTCAAAGTGGCAACAACAAATCTGGTGGGATTCTATCCAGTTTAGGGGTGTTACCTTTTCTGATACACAGCAATTCTGTTTGAAGATTATCAATTGAGATCTTCTGCCTAAGTCTGCTGCCTCTGCCTCTGATAATTTACAAAGAATTACAATACTAAATTGACAAAAAAGGGTGAAAAGGTTTGCACTTATCTCTTTAGATCACAAATGATTCCCATAAAAAGAGACCAGAAAGCTTCAGTATCTGCGTAAGATTCAGTTTGTTTTAATTTAAGTGTACTGTATGTAATTGGGCTCTGCCTTGAAAGTAATGATTTTGTCTATGTCTATGCATGCTAAATTGAGCTTTTCTATAAGACCTTTTAAGCTGAGTCCTAAATTGCATGCAGTTTTTCTTCAGTTGTATACTGTAAGTATATTTCGTTTTTTTTGTGCATTCAAGCCATGGACATTGTTTTTCTAAATTATTAAT